CGGCTTTGGTAGATTCCTGGTCTCTTCTACTAACAAGGCTGTAACATTCTTGTTCTATGCACTCTACTGGAAACCTCCTTATTCTATATTCTATTATTATTCTGGGATTTTTTTAATGGATCTTCAAATGTGGAATAGAGTGTGAGTGAGTGGTGAAGACTTTGGAAATTAGCTTTTTCTCATCCCAGGAAGCCCTTGATCTATTACCTCATCAACTCAAACTCTGATGTTTAGCTATTGACACTCCTTAGGGCTAAAGGTTGTACAACAGCGACGCCTAGTGTTACTTTTCTTAAAATCATTTCAGAGCTTAAATAGTTCTGCATTTTATTTGACTCGAAGATGTAGCATAGAGAACCAGTCTGGAAGACCTGGAATTCAACTCCTGTCTCTGACACATACTGACTTTATGACCCTGGGCAAGTCACAATCTCTCTGTTCTAAGACAGTAATTTGCAGAGAGGATGCCAACCTTCATTGGTAGAGGGAGTTTCCTTATTTAAGAGTTCTCCGTTCCAATGGAACCACAGGCTCAGTCCCTAGCTCTTTATTTAACTAAACTTGTATCTATCTCCAGACACCTTGCAGTATAGCCTGAGGGTTCTATGTGACCTTCAGTCCTCAGCCAAGTGTGCTCAGGTATTTATAAAGGGTCATCAGAGAACCTAGAGTTATATTTGGACCCTTTGGCCAATACCACTCATAAGAGTTTCTCATGGCAGAACTGGAGTATAATCAAAGAAGATTGATCAGGATGGAGGAAAAGAAGGGGAAGGAAAGGAATAATCATTTACATACAATGTATGTAATCATACATATACTGATAATAATTTATAATTATATATCATGATATAATTATATTTATATAATTATTTATATAAGACAATATAAATTACATTTATTTATACTATACATAACATAAATATATAATTATATTATAATCAGTTATAAGTGTACAATAATATTTACATACTACATATATAATCATATATGCTGATAATAATTTATAATTATATATAACTATTTTATATATTATATAAATTATACTTATTTATATTGTATATAATATAAATATATCATGATACAATTATAGCATTCATTTATAATTACATAATAATAAATTATATATTACTATGTTTCAAGTATTACTCTAAGCTCTTTTTAAAAATGTATACACACACACATATCAATCACCTCATTTGATCTTCATAACACTCTAACAAGATAGGGATTATTATTATCCCCATTTTACAAGAAAATTGAAGCAGAGGTTAAGTGACTTGCCCAGGGTCACCCAGCTAGGAAGTGACTGAAGCCACATTTGAACTCAATTTGAACTCAATTTTTCCTGACAGCAAGTTGGCACTCTATCCACTGTGTCACCCAGATGCCCTAGGAATAGGGACAGGGAGGAGACTCAGCAATGTACTATACAAAAACTGTTTAAAGGGCATAGGTGATGTTTAGTCCTGAAACAAAAAGGGGATACTTCAGGAGGACATGATCCCTGTCTTCAAATATTTGAAGAAATGTCAAATGAAAAAGGCATCAGACTTATTATCCTTGGCAAAAGAGGACATGAAGTGGTCATACAGGTAGCAAATGGCATATTCTTCATCTCTAAAGGAATATCTCTACTAGCTTGTCATTATAATGCTGTTACGGGGAAGGGATTATGAGGTACTTAGAAAAAACAAAGCATTTAAAAATATTATATCTACTAAGTGTAGGAATACTTTGGGAAGCAGATTTATTTTCATTGGTCTGTGGGCCTGAATTAGGCAGATGTGGCTGCTTTTTTAATGCTTTTTCTCTAGTGGCAATTTCATGGAATCTAATAAATCTTAGGGTTGGAAGGGGATCTGCAGAGTCCAACCTCCTTGCCCCCCCAATTCAGGAATTCCTTCTATAATTCCTTGACAATTGCCAACTCATCTCTGCTAGCTCATTACCAATGAATGGAGCTCTTACCTTTTGAAGAGGCAATCCATGTCAGCTTTCACCTTAGGAAGGTAGGCAGTGCTCCAGGACCTCCTCTCCATCCTTGGGAGTAGCATTGGTGCTCCCATGGAGAAGAATGGGGTTCACCAAGGTATTTGGAGGCAGCATCAGAGTATTGGGATGATGACAGTTCCTAGCCCTGACCTTAACACTAACTTCTACAAAATGGCCTGACCCTGAGAACTGAGACATGAAACTCTCTCGGGCCCTGACCTGGGAATATTCTAGGTCCTTCCCAGAGGAGATTCTTTCTAGATATTTAGAAATTCTTTCTAGAATTTCCAAATCTAGAAAAATCTCTAAGTTTCTAGAGATAAAAGGTCCAGACTGGTGTGCTCAGAGATGATTTGGAGTAGGAACATCCTTTGGATACAACCAGACAAAGCTCTCTTCCCTAAAACACAGAAGCATGATGGGGATATACAAATTGGGAAGCTGCCCATGAGCCACAGCAAGCAGGGGCAAGCAGAGACCCCAGCAAGGGAAACAGGCCACCCCAACACTATTGTTCTGTTTACAAACAGCTGACCTATCCCTGAATATAGCCTGAAGCTCTATTACATATACTATAAAGATTACATGTTTTTTCAATTCTCCTCTATCTTAATAAATGTTCTACTATAAGGAGACATCCTTCAGAAGATTGTAAAAATGTTTAATAATAGTAGCTAACTTTTATATAGCATGTACTATGTGCTGGGCACCATGCTAAGCACTTTATAATTACTATCTTATTTGATCCTCAGAATAACCCTGGGAGGTAGGTGCTACTATTATCTCTATTTTACAGATGAGGAAACTGAGGCATACAGAGATAAAGTAACTTACCCAGGGTAACACAGCTAGTATCCCAAGCTAGATTTGACCTCAGTTCTTCCTGACTCCAGACTGGGCTTTATCTACTGCACCACTAGCAATTTAGACTGCCCATCAAAAGACCAAACTAAGCAACTAGTGTTATGTTCGATTCAATGAGCATTTATTGAGCAAACTACTATGTGTAATTGAACAAGGTTCACCACTTCTATAAATAGGAGAGCTGTCTGATGGCAAATGCTTTTGAGTACTAATTTCCCTTCTCCTGACCTAGAGTATACTTCATGAGTAGTCTGTTCTCATCACAACTTGAAGGTAAACAAAGGAACACTTTGAGTTCACCTGTGATGAATGCTGAATCAGACTGATGATCAGTTATAGTGGGGCACACACAGATGGGCATGACATTCATCTTTGCAGTTCTAGCACCAAATAGAACCCTGAATATACTTTAATACGTTGAGACTTAAGATTTCAACTGTGAAGTGTGCCCTCTGCTCACACAGGTGACTACTTCTCTATTACCCCATAGTGAAGGTCTTTGTCAGTTGCTATGGCTGGGGAGGAAAAAAAATCATCCAGCAGGCAGCTTTTCGGTGATATCTCCCTGGACTTAGCTGGGCTGGTCCTTGGACAACAAAATTCTCAATGTCACTGAACCTGCTGTACCCGAGCATTGCAAATAGAGGGTATTTTGTGTTTATTGAATTTACTTAAACTGGTGATGAGAAAGAAATAAAATGTAGGTTTGTACATCTAGGCCAGATCATAAGATCATGGATTTATAACTAAAAAGGACCTGAGAGCCATCCGGTTTAATCTCCTCACTTTATGGAGGAAACTGAGGCCTTGGGAAGTTGAGCAACCTCCTCAATGTCCAATAGCAAGTAAGCACCAGAAACTTTCCTCTGAGGCTGCTTCTTTCTCCTAGACTAAGTTGGATCATAGGATCATTGTCAAATTTCAAGTTGGAAGGAATCTTCAGGTCATCCAGTCCAACTTCACATGTCCAAAGAGCTGCAGTTTGAACCAAGGTCTTCTGATTGCAAATCCAGCCCTTTCTTCGTTCTAAAGTGCAGCCTATTTTATACCCAGTAATGCATGGTGAGATTCCTTCAGGGGGTTCTGTTGCCCTGAAATGTTAAAGCAAGATTGTCTTTAGCCACAGCTTATTTTGATGCCTGTATTGGAGACATTAGCAACTGCCCTTCCTTCTCTTTCAGTGTCATGAAATATTTCCACCTATATGGAGACCAATCTTTGCATGAAAACTTTGCTGGGGATGTTTTCATTCCAGGTCCTAGGAAACCAAAGAAGAAAGTAAAAGGTTAAGTTCATCCACTCCACTTTGGTCCAGTTTTTTCCCACTTCTAAATGCCATAGGATTGCCAAGATCACAATAACCCCTTAGAAATGAAAAAAAAAAGTCTCCAACTCTTTTACTTTCCAATGGGTCAATATAAATTTGTTGACCATCTTGATTTCTGACAAAGAAAAAAATCAGCTCAAATTCCTCTCATTTAGCCACATAGAAACAGTCTTAGAAATGCATGCTAAATACACACACACACACACACACACACACGCACACACACACACACATCATTCTTCAAAACCTCATCAGGCTGCTCTGGGCTATTTTCATAAGGCTTCTGCCTCAAAGTAAAATAAGGCCCACTAATTAGGCACGTGATCTTGGATTTCCTTAAGCCTTCAAGGAAAGGGGCTTGGTTATCTCCTCAAGATGAATGGTTTGCCTCACTTTGAGGAGGACCATTTCTAAGACACAATGATGGGTTGTTTTTTCTAATCCATTTCATTAATGCCTTTGCTTTTATGTCATAGTCATTTCTATATCTCCCCTTCCCCCACAGCTTAAACCTTCCAAAACACTTGACACAGTGACCACTTCTAACCAAATATGCAACATTCTGTGTGAGTCAGGCCCATTTTTTGTCTTTAGAATCTCATGGGAACCTTCTCCCAAACTACAAGGTAGGAGACACACTAAACTATTTCTTCACTAGAGTTTGGTGTGGATCCCCAAGGAAATATCTCCTTTTTTCTTAAGAGTGTTGTTAGCTTGAATTCTAACTTCCATGACAAACTGGATGATACTGTAAAGCACAAATATTAAAATAAAGTGAGTTACAATGCTAATACTCCTCCCTTGTTTTGAACAGGAACAGAAATACTTGGCAAATCAGTTCGTATTATATTCTCCACATTAGGAGTTTGCATATTTTTTGCAATTGGCTACATGTTGCTGCCACTGTTTGCTTACTTCATCAGAGACTGGCGGATGTTGCTACTGGCTCTGACGATGCCGGGGGTGCTGTGTGTCCCGCTGTGGTGGTGAGTGAGACCATGTTCACAGGCATTCCCCTCCAGGGGGGCACATCTGGAGCTACAATTTTTAAGATCACCGTTGGGTTGAAATGTTACCTTGCTTTGGATTTTGAGGTGTCTTGTGTTTTGGATTTTTTTCCTCAGTGCCTGCTAAAAGCAATGGTCCTTCTGCTTTTGGCCAGTTAAATCACATGCTCCGTGTGTGGTGGCTGTGGTTAGGGTCCTCCATGTCTGCTTGAAAGTGTCACTCTCAGAGTAGAATCTTAACCTGAAGCCATCCTTTCTGTTGCAGTTTGTTTTTCTCTTTCATGTGCTACTAACTTCCCTTTCCACTTTGGTCTTCCTTTAGAAAGTCTCTTTTCTGTTTATGAAAACATATGAAGTCTTTCAACTTTTCTGACAAGACTTTCCCTACAATGTTGAAGATGTGTTTGCTTATCTGCATGGAACTACAGGTAGAAAGAGAGAGAAAGAAACTGAGACAGAGGGACAAAAAGAGAGACAGACAGAGAGAAGTATTTTTTTAAAAGATAAATAAAAATTTCCTTCTAGTCAGGTCTTTTTACAGCTCATTTGTGGCCTATTCCCTCTTGAAATAGTACTACAGTTTGAAAAATGACCCAAAGTCTTGGTGAAATACAATTCACTTAATAGGAGAAGTGGGGGTATAGAGCAGTGAATTTAATAGCTGCCTCTGCCTATTTTGGCATTTGAGGGAGGTAGGGAAATGAATGATAGCTTTTTAATCCAACTTACTTTGAGTACTGGGTTTTGTGGATGGTTTTGATGTGACTTTTGTGGTTTTCTTTTATTTTTCACATTGAAGCAGGAAGAGAAAGTACCCTGTCTTTCATGAGGGATTTTTTTTAATCCATTAAATTCCCTTATAATTACTCTTGGTTTGGCTACAACCCAACCTCCCATCAACAACTCTGGAAAGCTGTCTTTGTTGGGCTATAATACTTTCTTATTCAGCATCATGAAAACCACTGTCGTCATTTTTTTTCAAGACTTGATATTTTGTCTAGACCTTAAAGGTTGGCATGGTCTTTGGTCTTGTTTTGAGCATAAAAGCCTTTTCACCTTACACTGGAATGTGCATTATCTGATGATAGCATGAAGTCACATTCATTTAACAAGATACCTACCCACCTTTTCCTTCAATGTGCTACAGTCATAAATGTTGTCTGGCCCATTCTTTGCCTTCCAGAAAAGCTGCTTTCTTGATACAAACTATGAGTGCCTCCCTAACTTATCAGACTGATGGATCACCAGTATAAATTTAGTGTGTGGGAGCCAATGATATTTCCTCTCCCATGTTTCTCCCAAAGTTTGAAATGGAGCCTGGTAGAGCTTAGAAATAAGTCCAATTTAGCTGACCCCTTCTTATGCCGAATTCAAAAGCCAAATTTCATGCCTACAGAATATGCTTCAAAAATACCCACATAGGTTAGAAGGGGGTCTAAATGAACCAAATGAGCAGGTCACAATGACATTATACCCACTTCATTATAAAACAGCTCTGCCCCAGGGAAATCATCCTAGATCCACAATGGCATGTGGATGTCCCAGAGAAGCCCCATCCAGACAGACTCTGTTTCCATCCCACATTCCCACTAGTTGATTTTGCTGAGCAGGTCCCATTGTAAGAGATCCAGAAGTACCAAGAAATACAAGAAGATACAAGCTACAAGAAGAAATGCCTTCTTAATTATTCTCCCTTCTGACCAGCAATCTCTAGGCCTCTTGCCTCTCTCTCAAGTGTGTTAGAACTCTAGAAAACAACAAAAACTTCTTATCTGTCTTGTAGTTAAGGCTAAACATATAAACCTGAAGTGTTTGGGGTGGGGAACCAGGGAGAGGAAGTCAAGCTTTTCAGACAGTTTAGAGCTAGAAAGGACTTTTACAGGTCACCCTGTCTAAACCCTTCATTTCACAGATGAAGGAAGGAGAATAGGTATTTATTAAGTGTCTGCTATGTGCCAGGCATTGTGCTAAGAACTCTATAAATATTAGCTCACTTAATCAGCACAATAACCCTATGAGAGTTAGATGCTATCATGATCCTTATTTTAGAGTTGAGGAAACTGAGACAGACAGAGGTTAACAAACTTGCCCCAGGTCACACAGCTAGCAACTGTCTGAGATCAGATTTGAACTCAGGTCTTCCTGACTCCAGGCCCGGTGTTCTATCCACTGTACCACTTAGCTTCCTGAGATGAGGAAACTGAGACTCAGACAGGTAATAAGGTGACACAGGTAATAAGAAAAAGAATCAGGAGTCAAATCCATTGTGGCCCATGCCTGAACCAAAGTCAGGAGATCCCCAATTTTTTTAAGTTATAAGTTAGTCAGCTATATTTCACAGGATCTATTCAAAGAGAAACTATTTTACTTTTGTTCTTTAGAAACAACAAATCCTTTTCCTCTACTTCCTGATTGGCAAACTAGCTCACAAGGCTAGAGCACATATATGCACAGTGTTCCCTTTTGTCTCCACCTGCCTGTAATCTCTAGAGAAGCAATGTGACTAATCTGTATGGTGAAGACAAGACCCAAGAGAAAGGTGTCCCTGGTGAATTAACTGACTAGGAGTAGTGCTAACATGCCATATACTTGGGACAAGTGTTGCCCTTCTAGGTCCCCTTGGCTTCAAGGGATGTTTTCCTCAAGTGTAGGGTGTATGTGTTAGTGGGGAGAGGAAGGTGTTGTTTTGTTTTGCCTATATAGGTTGTAGATGCTGACAGGGGACTGTCCAGATGTGGCTTAGACCAGAATAATATCCCTACCCTTCTCCAAGGAAGACTTTAATTCCTGCCAGCAGAGAAAGCAGAAGGTTGGGGCCAGAGGTTGGCCAACCTGATCTCAGAGAGAGTGGACAGTGGGCTAGAATAATCTCTACCTGCTCCTTTTAATATTTTAAATCTAAGGAAAGTAATGTTTAGGTTTAAGCTATACTTCTGACCATTATCCCTTAATGAGACCCTCTATAATATTTATTCTGGGATGGGATGTTACTACTACTACTGCTATATCAATAAGGTCCTCGGTGGTATGGAAGTTTCCCTTCAGTCCCCACCTTAACACATGTCCACAAGTGCTTGGATTTCTGTGTGTACAGCCCAATGGATGCATTCAAATTTACTGATTTCCCTCCTTGACCATAAAAAGCCTACTCAACTTTCTCCAGTTTTGGCTCCTTGGTGGCCCTCACTGTCTTGCCCTTGATTTGACATATATTCATTCTTCCTTCTTGATATGTGTGCTGTTGAGATGAGTTGCATTTGTGATGCTCCTTTCCGAATTCATCTTCTCATGGGGACCTTAGGTCATGCCAGGTGGGTGGAGGTAGACTCTGGTCTCCCTGTTCAGCTTGGGACACCTGAGATGGGGAAGCTGCCGATCAAGCGACATCAGGTGCCATAGTACATTGATGTTGGTTGGTAAGGGAAGAAAGTGACTGACTCAAGTAGGTGGAGAAAAGAGAAGGATGAATCTGTAGGAGGTAACTCCTTCCTTTTACTTATAGTACAAAGGAACAAAAGAACAAGCAATAAGCACCCACTGTGTGCCAGACACTGTTAAGCATTTTACAAGTATTACCTCATTTAATCATCACAACACTAGGTAGGTGTTATATTAGTATCCCCATTATACAACTGAGGAAGCTGAGACAGACAGAGGATAAGTGTCTTGCCCAGGGTCACATGGCTAGTTAAGAGTCAGAGACTGGATTTGGACTCAGGTGTTTCTGATTCCAAGCTCAGTGCTCTATTCAATATGCCCCGTAGCTGCCTAATGTCAGGCTAAAAAACAGCTTTGGTTTAAAGGAGAAACCTACCATTTTGGTTTTATCCCATGTCACTTAATAACCTGTTCTAGCCTTCACAAAGTATTTCTCTGAGGTTCCCCAGTTACAGGGAAAGTATGTGTGTATAACCGTCATTTGGGGAAGAAGCTATCTCATGTATTACTCTGTACAATAACAAGTATTATCACATACCTACTTTGACATGCTGCCCACCTCCAGTAGTGCTGGCTCCAATCTGTCTGACAGTCTGAGAAACCCAGCCTCATCAATGTTTTCCCCTTAAAACCAAAAGCGTTGGTTTAAATAGCACATCCCTAGAGAGTCTTGTTCCTGCCCCAGTGCTGGTGTTTGGCAACAGGTAAACGTAATGCCACTGAGAAGACATGGAGCTATTTCCACTTGTCTCACTGCATAATTGGGGAAAAGGCACTGGGATACAAGGCATTACCTTACTCCCCTACTACCCAGTGACACAAAATTTTAGATCTGGATCTGTGAGGAGCCAAAGAAGTCATCTACTTCAACTCCCTCATTTTGGCCCTCCCGTGGAAACTCAGGGCCAAAGAGGTTAAGTCACCTGCCTAAGGTGACAAGATTATTGAGCCCGAGTTCAGGATTCCATGCACAGTGAGGGCTCACCAGATCCACCTTTTTGTCTTAACACTCAGGCTCATTCACTCATTCTCTGTCTCTTCCCAACATACTCATTGATGTCTCTCCTCCCCTACTTACTCTCTCTTCCTCCTGGACAATCAGGGAATCATTCCTCCTACTATGCTCCCACTCACAAACTTCCAAATGGTCACATAGGTGCCAGTGCTCCATCCTCTCTCTACCACTCCCAGGCCTCTAAAATGAATACAACCAGCTAAAAAGCTACTTCTCAATTTCCTTAAATAGATGTATTACTGCAAGTTCAGGTGCAAGGTTCCTTTTTTGCTTTTTAGCCTTATGGTATCCCCAACATCAGACGCCATCCAATTGGACTATTCATCCTTTGTATCCTACCTAGACCAAATTCAGAGGATAGTGACAACACTTGTAGTCTTTGAACAATGTAGAAACCAAAGACCTGGGCACCTGGTTAACAAGAATCACTAGTTAAAATCAGATGTTCCCCAGTGGTGTGCTGAGGTGAGACTTCTTTTGCCCTGGCTGGCTGATTCCTGAGACTTCCTACAAGTATAATGTCGGTCTCTGTCCCACTCCCTCTAGCCTTCCCACACACTCATAGGATTGTATCTCCCCTCCCCAAGGAGGGCACATTTCATGTCACTTACCCAAAACACAGTTTGTCATTTTTATTCCAGGACAAAAATTCTGAGATATGACTCTTTTCTTGTTCTTTAATGGGTTCTAAGTAAGTTATGAGTTCCCTTTGTTAAGTGTACATCACACAGAACTCAGTACTGTTTTTGTTCTAGTAGGTCTGAGGGTTAGTGCCTCTAACCTCAGCTTTGGAAGCTTTTGCCGTATGCTCAAATTTGTATTACCATGTAGAGGACATGAAAAAAACAGGTTCCTTTGCATCACACTCTAGAGTTGAGAAAACAGTAGAGAGTTACCAGAACTGTTATAAAGTTGGATGGAGGGCCCTGTGGAGAAATTCCCAAAGCTGCCTACTCATACCAACTGATCTTGCACAAACATAATTGACTCAGCCATCTGGGATCATGTGGCATTGGACCCCTGCAATTTGTCAAAATATGGAAAGATAGGATATGTGTGTATACACATACACACATACATATACACATGTGTGTGAGCATGTATATTGAGTATATACATATATACACATCTCATCCTTCCATGTTTCCATATATGCATATGTATACACATGCATGTGTGTATATATACATGTACTTATATATTGATATATGTGTGTGTGTATATATATGAGACCAAATATATGTGTATATATTCATAAATATTATAACACCATACATCTCCAGGACCAGGATTTATATTGGCTAAGAGCATTAGTCAAAATGCACTTCAGTGGCACAGCAGTTGTATGTAGAAGCTGACTAACTCAGCAGAGAAGGTTTTGGGTAACTGGTACTATTCAATAATGTATAGCAGCAGACTGACAGACATTTGTTTCAAACTAAGGCAAATGGGTTTACATGGGATTTTTTTCAAGTTAGTCAATAAACATTTATTAAGCACCTTCCAGGCACCGTGCTAAGTTCTGAGGATAAAAAAAAAAGGTAAAAGGCAGTTTCTGCTCTCAAGAAGTTTACAATCTCATGAGGAAAGACAAGAAGTCATTTGCCTAGATTAGAGACAAGGAAGACAGCTTGGAGGAGGGATGATTTTGTAAGGTTGTTATTTCTGGCCAATTCTCAATTAGGTCATTACTACTGCTGAGGATCCTAGTAATATCAGTGGGAAAATATACCTAATACTTTTTTAATAGAATTTAAATTTCCAAGGAAACAATACTGAAAAAAATGATAGGTGGAAATGGGAAAGCTGAGAAATTCAGTGGCTGAAGTGGGAAGGGGAAAAAATTTAGATGAAGTCAGGAAAAGATATGTCCTCCAATGCTATGTTTGAACACTGGTGGGGGGAAAGAGGGGTTAAGTACCTAAATGTGCCATTCACTATGCTAAGCACTTTGTAAATATTATCTCATTTGATCCTCCCAATAAGCCTCAGAGCTAGGTGCTATTATTTCCCCCATTTTACAGCTGAGAAAACTGAGGTAGACAAGGTTAAGTGACTTACGACTAGTAAGTGCCTGAAGCTGGATTTGAAGTTGGGTCTTCCTGACTCCAGGCTCAGTGCTCTATCCTCTGTACCACCTCCATGGTTTGAGGGGCAGGGGGGTTATCAAGACCTGTGATTTCATTCATGTAGGGAAACCTGGCAAAGCAGGGTATCATAACTCATTTTAGCTGATTGTTTGACTCATTCAACATTTTAAAAATATTTTAAGTGCCCACCCTATACAAGGCACTGTCATCCATGTCCAAATAATATACCTGAGGCAACACTTTAAGGTTTGCAAAACAGTCAACATACATTACCTTCTTTGATTGTCAAACAGCCTTAGGAGATAGATACCATCTCACATGTCCCCATTTTACAGGTGAGGAAATTGAGCCTTAGAGAATTAAGTGATTTACCTACAGTTATGCAACTAGCTAAGTGCTCAAAGTGGAATTTAAATGCAGGTCTCTTGCATCTCTCCAAGTCCCAAACTCTTTCAATCACACCACAGTAACTCTCTACAAGGAAGGAACTAACACATAATTCCCAGGCAGTCCTTCGAAGATACCCAGATAACACCTTGAATATCTCACTGGCTACTTATGTCTCATGTTGATTAGTACTGTCTCCATTACCCTGTGTTTTGGGTGACCCTGGTCTGAATATTCCTAAAACCTCTTTAAAGTTTGTATATACCCACTAGCCAAAAGTTTCTGATTAGGAAACTCGTGGAGGAAAAAATTCAGAGGTTTTCTTTTTTCTTAATAAAAAAAAATCTTAATTTTAAAAAAAATTACATTTTATGGAAGATAATATTTTCTAAGATTTTTTTGATTGTCGTTATGGAATTGACAGTTTCTGAGAATAAAATAAATATCCCACAAGAACTAAACCCCAAACTCAATTACAGGTTTATTCCTGAATCCCCACGATGGCTGATATCTCAAGGAAGATTTGGAGAAGCAGAAGATATCATCCAAAAGGCTGCAAAAATGAATAAGGTGACAGCACCGGTCACAGTATTTGATCCTTCGGAGGTAAGCATTCATGGGGATTTGCTCTTCTCTGTGATGCCAACCATGTACTTTTGACTCCATAACATATTGTTACTCTCCTCATACCTAAACATGTATTGAGCTTTCACTAAATAAAAGGCCCTAAACTCCATATTCTTGGTGTTCCAAAGATAACTTTGACACAGGTCTTTCATATATATATATATATATATATATATATATATATATATATACACACACACATATATATATACATATACATATATATATGTGTGTGTGTGTGTGTGTGTATTTTCCCCCAATTCCATACTAAAACAATTTTTAACATCTGGTTTTTTAAAGTTTGGAGTTCCAAATTCTATCCCTCCCTCCCTTCCTCTTCCCCTCCTCCTTCCCTGAGATGGCAAGGAATCAAATATAGGTTATACATGTCCCACATATAATCTAATGGAAGAAATAGGGCAAACCAATAGGTAACCAACACCAAGGGGTCATCATGTCATCAAAAGTCAATGATCACCAGAGGAGTAGAATAGAGGCTTTGATGTGCCTATCTGACTCTCTCCATAGGACATCTAAATTTGCTTTCACTCATTCAACAAACATTAAGCAAATACCTTCTTCAAGGCACCTACAGCTATAGAGAAAGAAAGACAAATAAAAAATGATCCCTGCCCTCAGGGAGCTTTCATTTTATTGGGCCCATAAGAGCACATTGATGAAGGTAAAGTGAGACTTGGGGGGATTTGTATGGGTTTGTACCTAGTTTGCCATAAATTTGGGAAGGCCTCTTGGAGACTGGAAATGGTGAGTTTGGGTTTGCATTTTGAAGCTTGAAGGTACTAAGAACATTAGTTTTGTTGCAGTGGAGACTGTGTTATTCCATGTTTAAGAAGTATCAGAATCTTGTGATGTTTCCAGAATCACATAGGGAGGTAGGTGGTATAGTAGCTAGAGTTCTGGATTTGGAGACAGGAAGACCTGATTTCAAATCCTGCCTCAGACATCTCTTAATTATATGACACTGGGCAAGTCACTTAACCTCTCTTAGCCTTAGTTTCCTTCATTACAAAATGGAAACAATAATAACACCCACCTCACAAATTATTGTGAAGATGAAATGATATATTCTAAAGCTCTTGGTAAATTTTATAGTGCTGTGTAAATGCTAGGTATTGTTATCATAGATTTTAGAGCTGGAAATCACTGAGTCCAACCTCATTTTACAGATGAGGAAACTCAGTCACAGACAAGTCAAGTCACTTGCTCAGGGTCACACAACTAGTAAGATGAGATCTGAACCCCGATCTTTCTGGCTCCAAATCTAGTGACCCCTCCACTGTGGCATGCTACCTCTCAAGTGTCAAGCACAGAATCACACCCAGGACATCTTAGATGACAGGACATAGTTCTACGAGCATAAAGTCATTTAGATTTAGAGCTGGGAAAGTACCTTAGAAATCATCTAGTCATCACCACTCATTTTACAGTTAAGACAAGATAACAAAGCACTGATTAAGTGCTCGCTGCATCATGCCCTATGCTAAAGAAACTGAGGCCCAGAGAGAGTAAATGATTTGCCTGAGGTTAAACAGATAGTAAATGGCAGCACTGGGAGCTTGTCAGTATCCATTAGAGGTTCAGAGGCCTAGGAAGATGGACATACCTATGTAATGATTTTGGATTCATAGTCACAGATGATAGGAAGCTTCACAGAGCTCAAGCTCCTCAAGGCTAGTCCATTGTCCTAAATCATCCTTGAAATAATTATTCTACTTAACCAGGCCACCTGAACTGGCATCGTTAGTAAGTGTCACCTTTCTAAATTCAACCCAATTCAAGAAGTATTTATTGAGTAAATAATAAACTCTTAGCAACCCCTTGCGAGGGAGACAGAAGTCCTATGTCCCTGCCCTTGAAGAGTTCACAGTCCCCTGGAGGAGACATGAAACAATTATAGAACTATGTACAATTCAGAATGATCAACTGCTAAATGGAGAAAGTTAAGGACCAACAACACAAACGCGGCAGAGAGGAGATGGGACCATCCTGTCCCATGAGAATGCTAGTATCACTGTATATTCTAGAATCTTCTTTCCTGTATCTCATCCCCAAATCATCTCTATTCTTTTAGCTCCAGGAGCTAACGCCTTTAGAACAGCAAAAGGGATACATCCTGGATCTATTCAGAACTGGTCACATTGCCATAATCACCATCATGTCTTTGATGCTGTGGTAAGTGTTCAGACTGACCTGAAAATGCATATCTACTACAAAGAAGCTCATGGGGTTGTTTGGGATTGGTTTGCTTAAGTCAGGGGAAAAAGTAGGCAGTAGGGCTGGAATCCATATCCCTGACAAATAAGAATAGTGTTATTCTGAGTGACTCTAAATTCACTTTCCAGGGTTTGACAATGATGAATATTCAGGAACTTTATATAAGTCCTTGATTTTAAGTGACAAAGTAGGCTACTAGAACTATGCCCTGGAGCTATTACTAGCAATTAGGCCTTTGGCATAGGGTACCGACGGCCCAGGGTGCCAATATGGTAGGAGTTCAGGGCAGGGGAAGCAAGTGAGGAGGGGAAGAAGATTTCATTCTGAGTGGTACGACTACTCCTAGACTCACAGCCCCAGGGTCCCGAGGCCTATCTTCCTCCTCAACCCTGATGAAGTTGGGCCAGACTCTCTGAGCAATGGGTCAACACCTCTCCCAGAGTGCCTGCTCCACTACTCCCTCTCCCAAAACCCTGCAACTCACTTTGCCTCAGGTACATTCATTCCTAGTTGCAGCTTTGCCATGACTCATCCCAAATGAGTCTTCTCAACTCCTTTGAAATTAAGAACAAGATGACTGACCTGACTAGTATCTGAGCCATGGCTATTAGTTTTGAAGTCAATTCCAGATTTATACTATAAATTACACTGTTGGACCAGAAAAAACCAATCTAAGACTCCCCAGTGCCATAATCAATGATGCCATTTTAGGGCATTTTCAAAATATATTTGCTATAGTTAAAAGTTAAAAATGACCTTAGGACTGAGGGTAGGATCTGATAGTGAAGACTGTCCCTTGTGAGAAATAGGATAAAGGAGAAGAACAAACCAAGGTTACCAGGACTGCTAGAGCAAAAAGATTCTAGCTGTATCTACTTCATTCTCAGTGTTCATCCCTCTTCGATTTTCTTCCCAAAGTTTAATCACTTATATTATATATAATTTATAGATTTGTGAAAATCTTCCAGATCATTTCCTGATATGACTATAACATGGCAGATGCTGCTGCTGCTACTACTACTACTGTTGTTATTGTCATTGTTCAATTGTTTCAGTCATGAGAACTCTTTGTGACCCTATTTGGGGTTCTCCTGACAAAGATACTGAATTGGCTTGCCATTTCCTTCTCCAGTTCATTTTACTGATGAGGAAACTGAGGCCAAGAAGGTTAAGTGAGTTGCCCAGAATCACACAGCTAATAAGTGTCTGAAGCCAGATTTAAAATCAGAAAGATGTGTCTTTCTCACTCCAGGCCTGGCACTCTATTCGGTGCAACACCTAGCTGCCCCAGTACTACTACTACTACTGCTGCTATTCATTTTTATTTTCAGTTTAAAAATAAATATAACATTCCATGGAAAGTAAATACATATTTAGAAAACTTTGAGAGACATGTATGCTAAGAGGGACTATCTTTATTAGATGGCTAAATAGCTTTCTAAATTTAGACAAATTATCATATGCAAGTCACCAAAAAGCCAAGTCACCAGAGAATGTACTTCAGATTTGTAATTATCCTTTTTCTTGAAAAGGTCCTCTAAAATATCAACTGGAAACCACCACCATCATCTCTGAAGCATTATGTCCCACAGGACAAAATCTAACTCTTTTGGTCCATATATTCCCTTACATATGTAAAGACACATTTTCATTTCATAGGACCTTTTTTTTTTGAACACCAAAAGCATATGGACCTTGGCTCCTCCACAAGTTGGGCCCCTTCCAAAATACCAAATGGAGGGGTGGCCCCTAGACAGAGAGCTTTATAATAGACACTTGCCAATTTTACAGTGCATCCACTTTTAGGCTGCATCAAAACATCTCTGCCTATGAACAAACAACTCCTCAACTATGTAGTTGCCCAACTTCTTATAAAATAATGTTACAGAAGACTTTGAGTGGGAAAAGTGCAAGAGTGGGAACCAGAAGACCTAGGATCAACCTACAGTTCTTCTACTTACCTCCTCTGTGACACTGTCCACATCACTTAAGTTCTCTGGGCTTCAGTTTCTCCATCTATAAAGTGAGGGAATTGGTCTAAATGGCTTCTAAAGGCCCTTGTCATTCTATCACCATGATTCTATGATCATCTCTTCAGGTAGTCCAAAGAGCAGATAGGAGAGAGCAAAATGATTAGTGTGTCCATAAATAACTCTTCATTGTACTGGGTGTCCCAAAAGTCTTAGTGCAGTTTGAAGCTTTAATAGTTTTAAGCTATTCATAACAAAATCACATGACCTGTAAGATGACCTGAGGTATAATACATGCCTTCAAAAGAGTTGAAGCTTTGTAAGGTCTCCTATTTTCTGCTAAATTGTTTTCTTATAGCTAATGGGATTTTCAAAGCATATGAAAAGTTTTTTCCACAGAAGACACACTTGGGATTCATCTTAGTTCTGTTCCAAATCAATGTCTACTTTTATTTTAAACAAATACAGTTTTCAGTTTAGGCTTAAAGGTTGGACAAGTATCTTAAATATTGTCCACAGGGGAAGGAAGGAAAGAAGGAAGGAAGGAAGGAAGGAAGGAAGGAAGGAAGGAAGGAAGGAAGGAAGGAAGGAAGGAAGGAAGGAAG